GTTTGAAGAGATGTAATATTGTTATTCTTTTTCCAGTTTGAGAGATCAATGCAGTATGGTTTCCATATTTGGTTGTAGATTTGATCATTAATGTCAAGGAGTGTTTGAATAATAATTTGAGAGGCTATCTTAGTTGGTATATTGTAGTTATAGATTGTTAAATTCTGTTTTCTTTAATTAACACTTATCCATGTATTAATATTATTTGTATAAATAAACATACTTAAATATTTAAATAAATTTATTGTGTTATATTGTTAAGATTTTTTTAGTATTTCATCATTAAAGCTTTAACACATATGTAAGTAATTTGTTAATATTATTATTACCTGTAATTATTTCTTGTTAGATCAAATATAGTAAATTTTATTGGAGTTTATGGAGTTCTACCATATATGGTACCAAAAGTTTTAACAGAAGAAAGATACATATCATCATTAGATATTATTTATTTGGTATAATTATGTGAAAAATTTTATATAGGCAACTGGTGTTTATGATTAAAAAATTGAACCAAAACTTCAAACAAAAATAGGGTAGCCTGGATGCTTATTTTCATTATCCACAACTTTAATTGGAACTATAACTAGATCGTTCTCAAATACTTTAACCATAGAACAGTTCTAGAGCTTATTTGGACTATCTTACCAGCACTCATTCTGATAACTATTGCTTTCCTTAGTTTCAAATTTCTTTATCTATTAGATAAGGTCATCAATCCAGTAATAACTGCTAAAGCTATAAGTAATTAATAAGATAGCTGCACAATATTGTCATGCAAAACCAAGAACAAAAGATATAAAAAGTATATTAGGAACAGAGTTTGTACAATGTACAATGTAGTGTATAGTTTACCTGCAAGTTAGTGATGTTTACAAAATCTTGAATCTGATTGGGTGATTGATTCTGATGTCTTTATCTTGTGATTTTTGTATTTGTACAATAAATTTTTGTATTGTTATCTTACATGTGCTAAATTTTTTTGTTGATTTATGTTACTTAATCTACATTACTGAATTTATAAAAAAACTAATCATAACCAAATTTAATCAAATTAATCAAGAGTAAATACTGTCACTTTTTATAGTAATTGCATTCAGAAAAGTTACCAAGTTGGAATCAGATAATCACCTGAATGATAGTTCAGATAATTACTTAAAAACTTACACAACTTCAATTAAATACAAAGATTTTGTCAAATAAAAAAAATAAAAAATAAATATATATTATATATATTAGATTTTTAATTAAACATAGTAATTTTTTATAATGACCATTTTTTTATAGTCAGTTCTTTATAACAAAGGTTGAGATTATATAAAAAATTTTTTTGATTAAAAGTAAGCTTTTTTAATTAAATAAACTAATATTTTGTATGTTTTACAATATTACTGAATTTTGCTTTTAACATTTTAAAAAAAAAAAATTTTTAATTACTAATTTGGAGATATTTTTTTTTGATGTTTTTTGACCAATTATGTCAAGTGAATAAGTTTTTAACTTAAATGCCATATGTCTCTATTTTTCAAACTATATGAGTTTTTTTGCTTTACTAAGTTACTGTAAATTAATGTCTTATCTTTTTAAAAGTAACTTTGATCCTTTTAACTGAGTAAGTCCTGGTCAGATGCATTGCATTGTTGATTTTTCTTGAAACTTATGAACTCACTTCAAATTATCTATATTAATGCACTCAAATTATTACATTTTTCAAAGTGACTTTAGGTTTAATAGCTCTCAATACTTATAAATAGTAAAAGTATTTATTAGAGTAAGTAGATAGATTCATATATCCAATATACAATAGTATGCTTAAGTTCTAATTTAAATTATAACTTTAACTTGTAAAATAGTGAATAGTTTATAATAATAAAATGTGCCTATAACAAACTTTATATCTTTTTTTGCAAAAAGAAAGCTATTATTATTTAAATAAAAATTTAATATATAAATTAATTATACATTACATATAGTTTTGTACTATCATCCTAATATAATTATCTAGATGATATCTGGACCTAACCTGGACACATTTTCTAAATGCATAGTGGTTAATTAGTGATTAAAAAATATTAATTAAAAAATATTAGGGTTAATAAAAAAACTATTTCATTTTCAAAAATGTCATCTTTTTGCAAATTTGGCATATCTATATTTTAACTACAGCAGAGACAGTGCCTGATACAATATGGATCCCCTTACCTGTGATTAATCTTAAATTAAATTATTTATGTTAGATTCAATTGTAATAGATATAATTTCTTATTATTTTTAATATATATGGAACATTAATAGTGTCTGCTGTTTTTTTTAACTCTAAAATAAAATTCAATCAAAACTCAAATCATATATAAACAAATTTTTGAGTTTTATAGAGTTATAATGTGTTCTGAAAATTGATGCTAAGGTTTGTAAATCTGAGCTAGTAGTCATTAATAGCAGATTTATTTATTTTATACTGTGATACAAACATTAATTTTTGAGTTAAGATTAAGGTCAATTTCGAGTTAGAAGTGCAGATATTATACTAAAATTTTGCACAAACTTTTACTATTGTTGTAATAGCTTTTGAATTGTTATGTTATCAAGTTATTACTTGTTTAATATAAGATTTTACTTTTATTATTAATTTTGTTATAAGTATTTTATACTATCATATACTCTTAGTTTTATTAATTATATTTTAAGTCCTTTATTTTCATTAATTTATTTTATTTTATTTTCCTATAGTTTGAATTTGCACAAAATGAAACTTGTCTTTATAATAATTTACTCTATTAATACTTATGATTATTGTAAAATTGTATAAAATTAGTGATCAATTACTTATTTTAAAAATACACATACATATACATGTTATGTATTCTCTCTGTATTGGCATCAAAAATTAAGTTATATATAATTAGCAATCATGTAAATTTAAATAATTATAGTTATGTATGACTAAATTAATATAGTAATTATGTTATGCTAAAGTTTTTTCTAATTGTACAAAATAAGGCTGCCTTTATAACTGTTTACTTTATTAATACTTATTATTTTTGTATAATTGTATAATATTAATATTTGATTATTTATTTTGGAAATATATATATGTATATCTGTTATTTTCTCTATATTAGCATTAAAAAAATCAAGATTAAATACAATCATGTATGTTCAAATAATCATAATTATATACACTTGAATTAATATGATAATCATTTTATTTAAGGTATTTTCTGATATGTACTATATGATAGTCTTGTTATCTTTATACTTGTCTATTAATATCAACAATGTTTATATTGTACCAGAAAATTATTATTAAAGCCTTTAAGTTAATTAAATGTTATATGATCTTTGCTCAGAAATATGTGATTTCTTAATTATATTTCTTGGTTTATTGTAATATGCTTTATATATTATCTAAGTACATTGCTAATAAATATAAATATATATATATTGTTATTTAAAGCTGTTTCTAAACATAATTATCTGTGTTATTTATCAAAGTATATTTTTATTATAAAAAAGTTGAAATTCTGTTGCAATAGTAATTTGTATCCCAATTTCTAACAAAAATGCCTTGCTATATAGCAGTTTTCATTGCTAGCACTATTGTGAAAAAATTTATTTTTGTTTATATAGTCTTTCTAAGTATAAAATTTTTAAATAAAAACTATTAGACAATTAGATAAAAATATTTCTTTCCTATAAATAAACAATCTCTAATTTTTGCATCAGGTGTTCTCATATTTATTTTAGGCAAATATGTAATTAAAAATCTTAAACAGTGTATTACAATTTCATACACCAGTATTATTAATACTAGAAATCCTAACTGAGAATTTGATATAAGTGATGTTTCTCTATGCCTTTCTTATTATATATTCATTGTAACTGCTAATCATAAACCTAAAGAAATTGAAGATTATATTTATTTCAGTATAAAAAGCATTGAGTATAACTCTGTTACCAGCACCTCTAATGTTAAAATGTAGATAATAGTTCTTTATTACTTTTAGTCTATTAGATTTAAAAGATATCTAGGTACTTTTGGCTTTAATATTAAATTGGTAATACTTACTTTGTGTAAGAACCTAAGTTCTCAAAGTTCAGTCAAATAATCATTAAGGCAACCAATATTGATTATTTAAAAATCTCAAACTTGCATTACAATGTTTCTGAAAATTCTTCTTTAAAAACTTCTGAATTTTATTCAATTATTAATATCATTGCTGATGATATTGAATTCATTATTATTTAAATACTATTTAACCATGCTAAAACCTCAATCTTTAATTAAACCTAATGATACTTGTGCCTCTTAACCAAAATACATCAATTTAGATGTTTGAAATGATAAAAAAGATAATCAACCAGATTTAGAAAATAATATTGAGTTAGATAATGATGTTCAAATCAAAAATGAAGATCAAGAAAAAAACTTACAGTCTAAAAAACAAAAGAGTATTAAAATAAATATAAATGAAAAAATGTATATCAAAAAAGATAAATAAGGTTAAACAAATGTAAATAGAAATTTGATTAATTTATCGATTATTATATATATTAAATCAATAAAGTTATTTATAGATAGTTGTGTTTAAAAAGTTAAATTCAAATATTAGCAATAGATCTAATTTATTTATTATTGTTTTCTTATATAAAATAAAAAATTTTGACATATTATCTTTTTCAATAAATATATTAGTTTTATTAAAACATATCATTAAATTTTTATAAATTTTTACTTGCAATTATTATCAGTATTATCATATAAATTTTTATTATTTTATAATTCATTAAGTTTTGTAACTATGTTTCCAATAGTAATATTTGAATTATTCTAACTAATTTTTTGAAATACAATCAATTACAATTATAATTACAATATGATATAGATCCTATTGTACTTACTTTAAGTAATAGATAATTTAGCTTTAATTAATAATATAATTTTGGTTAATTGCGCAACTTTTAATATAATCTAGCTTTAAATATAAACTCATTTAAACTATAAATAATATATAATATTGTTATAATTATGTTATAAGAATATTATTATAATTATAAAAATTATTTTTATTAAAATTTTTTTTTGTGATAATATTTTTTAATGCATTGTGTACTTTTTATAACAAAATTAAATATGACCTTGTAGAGTAACTTTTGATTTTCTATACAGTTGTACTTAGGATTAAGTTTCATTTATAGACTTTGATTACTTCATATTTACTAAGAGCAGAAGTTTAATTTGATTATATTCAATATAAGCATAATATTATTTACTTAGGCTCAAGTAACCTAAATATAAAAGACTTAGCAGTTGTAAATACTTTTTCAATCTTATTAACTTTATAACAACTCTAAAAATGTGTTTATAATAAATAAAGAAATAAACAAATCTGTTTACTAATTATATATATAAAACATAAATAACATATTTACTATTTTTTTTTTTTAAATATTAAGGTGAGTACTGGCAACCCAGGATTTTATTAATAGTACATTCAGCTAATAGTTGCTTTACAACTACAGGGGGCAACTATGAAAAGAGTGTACAACTAGCCACTTGTACAACTTTAGTCATTGTCTAATTTAAGTAGTCTGCCTGAAGGTTCTACACTAGCTGCCATACTTGGAACCTGCTTGTAGATTCTCTATTTAACCAATCTGTTCCCATATCCACCTACCTATCTACACCTACCAAGATGCTTCAGTCGATACCAATTCAAATATGCCATGGTTACTAAGTCTTTAAAGCAGTTCACTCACATAGGAAACTTTGACCTTGTACTAAACCTACTAGAATCTTCTGTACTCCATTCTTACAGCTGACCTGATATCACTATGGCTAAGACCAACACTGGCAGTCAGGACATACCATTAAACCACTATGCCCTTGTAGAGTTCACCCAACCTCAGTACTGACTTTACAACATATCTTTACTACTTTGGTATTCAATTCAAGTTCCACCAAGCTGCCATTCCAGATAGCCTGAAAAGGTAGGCCAAAACCATACACCTCTGGTTCACAAGTTTGTTGGCATATGCCCTTTTTTTCTGAAACCTGGAAATTTTGGCAGCCTGGTTGGTTCATCCAGTTCCTCATCAAAGACCAGCACATTTGCTTAGTTTCACAAGTTCTAGCTCTGTTTTATAAGTCTAGTCTTTACAGTAGCACCATTGAAGGTTCAGGTTATCTCTCTACTTAGGTCTTCCAAGTGGGCTTCTGTCTTCCTACCTGGTTTCTGTGGTTTACATGGCCTAAGAACTTATCTTGAGTTTACACCACCTGATGCCAGTTTGCGTTTCCTTATACAACATTGTATGAGTGCCTAGACCTTCCAGTAATGCTAGTATAATACAGGTTACAGGTATTCTATCCCAACTTATCACAGAAGACAGTTAGCCATAACACAAAAAGAATTGCAAATTTTCACTATCACTGGGATTGAACTCTAGACCTGCCACTTGGAGGTTGACAACCTATCCACTTTACTAGGTCATCACACTCCTAAATAATATATTTACTATTAATATTGTTATTAACTAAATATAGCAAATATTATAATCTATATTGAGTAAAAAAAAAATAAAATGCCTATTTCTATTTAATATATAATTCCTTTGACCAAGTAGATATATACTGTAAATATAAATCTTAATTTATTGAATTTTGTAAAATATAAATATTACATTAGTTTATAAAAAGCATTGGACTTTTATTCCAGAATTATACTAAATAAATATCTTATTTATCGATATAAAATCTTACCTTTTCATGTTTTGTTTTTAATTTATCATATAAATATTATATTAGCTTAAAGCATACTATAATCAATATAGAAACTAGAAGTATGCCTAGAAAAAAAAAGAATCTTAAACAAATAGCTTTGCAACTTAAAAAAAATGCAAGTAAAAATGCAAATCAACTGCTTCTTAAAAGAGAATTAAAATTCAAACTCAGTTTGCAAGAAACAGTTAGACAGATAATTTAAGCATTTTTTTCACATTATGAAAATAGATGAAGATTTTAAAAAATTACCCAACATTATATTAACTAGCTCTAGCCTATAAAAAAAGAAATAGCTAAAGACACATTAACTGAATTCAGTGATAAAATTAATCTTAATGTACTGCATAAATTGCCATGTACAGTTTGTTCATGTGTTTATAATTACAAACTTTATAAAATAATTTCTTTACTTAAAATTGATCTTTTATTAATTAAAGTATCATCAAATCTTATCAATCCATCATTTAAACTTGATTTTAATTATAATCATCCTTACATTACTGTTAGTAAACTAAAATTCTTTTTAATTATTATGAATTCATATACCTATCTGAACATCTTGTTAATTCTGATGATTTTTACAATACCTTTTTATTACAAATTTGTTAATCTTGCTATAACTGTTCCAAAATTGCAAAACTTCTTTAGTATCATTAGCCAACAATATATGGATTGAACCTACTTCCTAATGTTTTCTAGACTTAACAATTCCAAAAAAACTTCTTATTTTGCCTAAATATCTGTATATAAATCTTATACAGATAACAAAAAGAAAACATACTTATTACAAACTTAAAGAGCATGTTGTAACATTTACTCAAAATTCAAGCTCTTTAATTAATATATTGCCCTTACTGATATTTAAGCTTTGTGAATATATAAAAGTAATATTTATTAGAAAAGAAACTTTTACTCAAGAAGGTGCTCCAAGTTCAAAAAGACAAGATAGCAATAGCTCCTTGATAACTTTTTGCTTATAATAAGTTATTTAAAGATAAGATTAAATTTAACAAGAATAATTCAAATAACTTGCTCAAAAGAAAAATTTCTAAGACTTTAATATTAACAACTATAGTTGTGGATATTGATTCTTGAAAAATAGAACACTATACTGTTACACTTGTGATTCTTTGTCAGATTAGGAAGATTTTAACAGCAAACGTGATGACAGTAAAGGTAAAGAATATATTAATACTAATAAGCATAGGTCAAAAATTTTTTTAGATAATAATTCAATTAATAATGTGGATTAACTCAGATCTTTTAAAATAATAAATGTTAATGATGTACTAATTGCTGAAAAAGAGCTTACTTTGCTTTTTTTTTAAAAACTTATTGTTAAACTGAATTATTATACTTATAAATAATCATTAAATGAAAATATGTTTAGATTGAATAATAAACAAATGCAATTACATGAATTAATAAAAAAACTCTTTCCCATAGATCCCAAAACAATAAGTAAACAAAAAAGAAAAACTGCAAAAAACCTAACTAACTAAAGAACAAGATAATAATACTAACTGCAGGCTAACCTGTGACCTTCTATAACTAACCTAAAACAAACTAAGATACATCATTACAGAAACCAAGAGGAAATGCAAACCCAACACCAAAGACAAAGAAAATATCTCAAGGCCTTCAGGGCCTACAGCCGATTTTACCTTTATAGCAACACATATCTTCAATATGCAGAACAGTTATAAATATCCTACTAGACAACAGAAACAACCTCAACACAACCAAGCTCCCTATAATCGACCTAGCAAAAATGACAAAGATACTACTAACAAGCATCAAAAAACCTTGATACTATCATTGAAACAAAACAAAAATAGTGGGAAAAGTAGCTTACCCCTATCTAACAGCCATGTGACCACACGCACAACCAACTACAACAACAACACAACAAAACAAACAGGTTTAACCAATGATAAAACCAGTTTCATGGGCAACAACAACAACTACATAACAATCATACAGAACAACAACTCTCGCATTACCATAAGTGATACACAAACACAAGCACACAGTCCCAATATAGAAATAGAAATTGCACATGCAGCACAGCAAACCCTAGAACTAATTGACATCAATTACCAAACCGAGCCCCTCCAAACAGAGATGCACCCCGACCAAAACATGGAAACTAAGTCTATTAACACAATACTAAGCACTGGAAACTCAATAGACAATGATGTACAAACCAGATGCACATACAGCCAAGCAGTTAAAGGTAAAACAACTGCAAACACAGACCAAGAAAGTGATACAGACCACATGCAAATGTGGATAGAACAACTAAACCAAAACATAGATAAGAAAATATCAGACCCCTTTGATCTAACACTCTGAAATTACCAACTCACAACAGAAGCATTCCAATCAAAAGAAAAACTACAAGAACTTATCACATATAAATTTAAGACCAAATCCACACAACAAATACTACCATATGCAATCGAATCTAAATTCAGACATACTGATCACACCTTCTTCACTACCTTTACAAGAGCTAAATGCTTTATGCCTCAACATCAAATAGAGTATGAAAATCTGTTCACAAATGCAATACAGAAATACAAGACTAAAAACAAAATAACCATCACTGACAAACAAACAAGAGACAAAATACATCTCAAACTCCGCCAAAAACTGTACATCGATCATATTGCCAATATGAATTTCAACACATGTTCACAAAAACATATATATCAA